CACCAGTTCCCCAGGTGTCTGGGGACCCAAGACCAGGAATGGCACAGGGCCCAAACCAGGAGCAGAAAACAGCGGCGGAGATGGAAGGGCGAATCTGCAGAATTCTTTAAGACCGTCAAAGAAAAGTTAACATTAGTCCTTGTCAAAACACTCCACAAATATAAAAGAACAGTGCTACTCTGATTCCAAAACCAGATAAAAGCACAACAATAAAAGAAAACCAAATAGATCTATTTCTCTGATGAATATAGACACAAAAATTCTCAGTAAAATACTTGAGAAACAATACAAGAGTATATTAAGAAGATCATAAACCATGGCCAAGTTGGTTTCAATTCTGGGAAGCAAGGGGTTCAACAAACACAAATCAATAATTCTAATACACATATAAGTAGATGACAGAAATGTGATGATAATCTTACTAGATGTAGAAAGTGCCTCATAAAGTTCAAGACCCTTTCATGTTAAAAACTGAAAAAGTGAACAGAAGAACCTAACATAATAAATGTTATATATGGCAAACTATATTTAATATTAAAGAAAATGGGATAAAACAGGCAGCATGTCCTCTAAAATCAGCAACAAGATAAGGATATCCATGCCCATACTTTTAATTCAATATAGTACTTAAAGTCTTAGAGCAATTAAGCAAGAAAAATATGTCAAAGGGACATAAGCAGGAAAGGAAGAAGTGAAATTCTCTCTATTGGGGAATCTGCAGATACCTTAGAAGACCCTAAATAATCCACCAGAAAACTCAGATCATATAACAGTTTTAACAAAGTAGCAGAATACACAATCAACACATAAAAATCAGTAGCTTTTCTATATACCAATAATGAAAAAAGATACCAAGTTCTTTAAAAAAGCATTCACAATAGCTTATAAAATAAAATAAATTCACAAGGAGATGAATTACTTCTACACTAAAAACTTTCGGTAAAGGCACCAAAGGAGGAAATTGAAGACAACACTAGAAGATGGAAAGCCTTCCCATGCTTGCCAACTGGAAGAATTAACATAGTGAAAACGATTATTACCTACAGATTCAATGTAATCCCATTAAGATTTCAACAACATTCTTCACAGACCTGGGGGAAAACAATCCTAACATTTATGGTAGGCAAAAAGACCCTGAATAGCCAAAGCAATCCTAAGCAGAAAAAGCAAATGCTGACAGTAGTATCACAGGACCTGATCTCAAGTTAGACTACAGAGCCATAACAACAATACAGCATGTTACTGGCACACAGACACACACCAAGAAAATGGAGTAGAAGACAGAGTTTAAATCACTTAAATTTTGTCAAAGGTGCCAGAAACACACAAGGGGAAAAGAAAATCTTTTTAAAAAATGTAGAAGAATGACACTAGATAACTTTCTCTCATACTATATAAAAATCAACTCAAAATTTATCAAACTTTAATAAAAGGTCTGAAACTTAATGTAAGACTTGAAACTCCGGAACTGCTAGAGGAAACCATGTAAGACTACTTTAAGATATAGGCAAGGAGTTCATGGAAAAAAAAAAAAAACTTTAATTGCCTAGGAAATAATTACAAGAATTGACAAATTGTAGGTTCATGAAATTTAAAAACCTTTGCAAGCAAAGGAAACAAATAGCAGGCCAAAAAATTCAGTCGACAGAATGAGTTAAAATCTTTGTCAACTCTTACATGTGAGAAAAGATTAATATCTAGAGCTTATAAAGAATTGCCCACTTATCATTCAGTCAATAAATGAGCAAGGGAACTGAACAGCTGGTTCTCAAAAGAAGAAATACAAATGGCCAAAAAACACATGAAAAAAGTTCAATGTTAATCACTATCAGGAATATTCAAATGAAAACTGCACTAGGTTCCATCTCACCTTAGTCAGAATGGCTATCAAGAAAACACAACAGAGGCTGGAGAGGATATGGGGAAAGGGAAACTCTTGGCTCTTGTTAGGAATGCAAATTGGTACGGCCACTATGGAAGAGTACCGAGGTGACATATTTATGAGGGTGCTTTTACAAAGGTTTAACTGAGGAGGGAAAATCTATTCTGAATATTGGTGGTACCATTCATGGCCCAGGATCTCATATGGAATAAAAAGGGGGAAAAGAAGAAGCCAGCAGCACTCATCTCTCTGCTTCCTGACCAAGGACACAATGTGACAAGTTGCCTCATATTCCCACTGTCATGCCTTCCTCACCATGAAGAACTATATTCCCTCAAATCATATAGCAAAATAATCCTTTCCTTCTTAAGTTGCTTTTTGTTTAAGTATTTTGTCACAGCAGAGGAAAGTAATTAATATACAATTCTTGGACATATACCAAAAGGAATTTATATCAGCAAACCATGAACACACACATTCATGTTTATTGTTATACTATTCACAACAGCCAAGATATGGGACCAGTCTAGATGTCCATCAACAGACGAATAAAGAAAATGTGGTACCTATACATATCAGTCATAAAGACTCTTCCTAAGTGTATCAGGTTGACAGACAAGATTAGCTATCATGTTATTTACAGGAAAAATGAACACAACTAGAGATCATCATGTGACACAAAATAAAGCAGACTCAGAAAGACAAATATATAATTATCATAAATGGAATCTAGAGTTAAATATGTGTACACGTGACAGGAAGTAGGAGAGGGACTATAAAGAAGGAAGGGACATAAAGTAGGGAGGAGGGGCTGGAGAGATGGTTCAGCAGTTAAGAACACTAAATGTTCTTGCAGAAGACCTGGGTCGAATCCCAGCTCCCACATGGCAGCTAACAACTGTCCGTAACTCCAGTTCTAGGGGATCCAACAGCCTACATGAAGGCAATACATGCATACACATAAAAAATAATAAAAAATAAAGTAGGGAGGAACAGAAGAGGGAACAGTGACAAAAATGAGGGGAAAAAAAGATAGACTAGCACCTGTTCTTTCATGTAAAATAAAGCAAGCACTGGACATCTTTCAGATGCAGAATTTAGATGACATGAAAGCAGAAGGGGGGCAACTTTTGGGCTGAGAAAGAGAGAGGAGGAATAGGTAAGGGTGCCTGTGGGTGAATATGAGCAAAGGACAATGATATATATCTATGAAAATGTCATTATGAAACCCATTATTCTGCATTGTTTACCCAAAAAATGAAATTTAAAATCTCTATGTGCCCAAGAAAGATGAGAACATATATCCATCAAAACACTTGTACATGAATATTTAAAGTAGCCAAAAATAACTTCACATGAACAGGCAAATAACTGTGATATACATTATAGCAAGGAGAACCTTGAAAACATTATGCTAAGTGAAAGAAATCAGATGGAAAATACGACAGACATATTTGTATGACTACAATTATACACGTCTAGAATAGGAAACATGATGGAGCAAAGAGTAAATTGGGTGGGGAGTCTGAGTGGTAGGGAAGAAGTAAAGACGTTTCCAATGTCTGATAATTAAGAGAGGACTTCTTTCTGGAATAATGGAAATGTTCCATAATTAACGATGACTCTAGTTTTACACCATTGAGAGTATCAAAACCCTGAATTATGTACTTTTTTTTAAATTAAAAATTTTTTTTACATGTGCTAGGTGTGGAGTCACACGCCTTTAACCCCAGCACTTGGGAAGCAAAGGCTTATGGATCTCCATGACTTCAAGGGTGGCCTGCTCTAAATACAGAGTGCCAGGGAGCCAATCAGGGCTAAATGGTGAGAACTTCTATCAAAGAAACAAACAATAAAAAAAGTATGTGCATGTGCAAATGTGTGCATGATTTGTGTCTGGGTATGTGCATGCCACTTAAGTGTGGAGGGCAGAGGACAACTTTGTGGAGCTGATTCTCTCCTTCCACCTTTATGGTGGCTCTGGGTCTTGAACTCCGGTCACCAGGCTTACCCAGCAAGTACCTTTATCTGCTGAGCCATCTTGCAGGCCCTGAATTACATGGTTTAAAAAGGTGAACTTTATGGTACATAAATCATATCAACAAAATTGTGTTTTTGTAATGACTAATGCCACATTACTTAAAAAAGAAACCCCTATGAACATTTATCCATCAAGTACCCAAAGCAGGACAAAATTGTTTGAAAACAACTAGAAATACTGACTCAAGCAGAAGCACAGACAACATACTTGAACTATTTTATTTACTGAGAAATAAAGTCAGTCTCTCTAAAATAAGTTACTTGAAAAATGGAAACAACCCCTAATTTTCTGTGAAGAGATACATTGTGAAAGGCTATTCCCTTTTAACTTTCTCTTCAGGTGCACCACAAATATTACCTGCTGTGTGCTCTGCTTTGGGGGAAGAACTGGGAGAATACTCAGGAAGAAAGTAGATTTTCCTTCCCGTACTTCTCACACATGTCCTGAACACTGAAAACACTTTAGGAAAAAGCAGTCCAAATGAATTCTGATGTCCAGAAATTTCTCTAAGCATCCTTTTTTTTTTTTCTTAACTTGAATTTTTGCAATTTTCATACTTAATGGTATCTAGATCCCCTCCCCTCTCCCCATCTGCTCTTATTACGCCCTCCTGCCCAATTTAATGAACAGACATACATATATGTATCTATTATATATGTACATATATATGTATAAAATAAGGCCTATAGAGACTAATTTGTGTCCCCAAATGTTCTTCAATGTGAGTCCATCCACTGTAGCCTGGTTAACCTACCAAAAGTCCCATGCTCAAAGCACACTTTTAACTACTTTATTCATTACTAGCTAGCCTCTACTATGTAATTATAAAAGCAAATAATGACAAAGCTGAGCACAACCCACAGTCCTTTAAAATTGCATAATGCTTATATATAAGCCTTTGTGACATGATTAAAAGAGAAATAAGGCATTTAAAATCAAAACCATATAAAATTGAGAATATGTATCATATTAATAAATGCAAAAACAGGAAAGCAAGCAAACATTTTACTGGAAGAAAACATAGGTTATCTGAAATCATCTTTCCACAACCACATGGATGCAAAAAAGTATACTCACCTGGTTTTGGCACTGAGTTGGTCACTGACTGGGGAACTTTCTGATTAATTAACTCAACACAATGACCAGGGAAGAGTCCCACCTAAAGAAAAGTAAAAAAGAGACGATTCCAAACCAGCTAACAACCAGGATGTGAATATTGCCAATTCAGTTCCAGTAATGCACTCTACAGTCCCTCCCAAATGATTCCATGGTTCCAAGACTCTGAATACCAGATGCCAATTATACAAACAAATAATAAAACAAACTGTTGCTATGAGTATATGGAGCTATGTGGGGTTTTCTGTTCAAATATCTAAGGCTGCTTTGTTAGTTTCACCTTTTAATTTCCCAAACTTCTTTTAAATAAATCAAAGTATCTAATCTGACTATAAGTTGAGCATGCAATAGGTAAAATTTTTACTGGTTAATAATTCACTTTGCTGAAATCTTAGTCTAGTTAAATTAGTATCTGTTATCAACTTTTATGCTTATTTTTAATTAGCATTAAGTCATAATTTATTGTTTTATGAGCATCTCCTTTACTTTTTGAAGGCTTCATTAAAAATAACAGGATTAAATTAAATTTCTGAAATAATGATTCATTTAAAAGTGAAACTCACTACTGCTAAGGAATCAACAGTACCGGGTAAGGTGGAAAGCAAGAAGGAAGAAAATGTCCTTCTGCATGGTGCAACAGATACTGTATTGAAGAGCATGCTGCACTGCCCTTAGAGCAGAGCCACTCACACAGCTTTAGGGAGAATCCTAACAAGCTACAGCAGGAATACACTGAGTTCCTTCTGGACACCCAGAGATACTGCATGGCCAATAAAATAAACACAAAGATAAACACGCTGGGAACCAAAAGTAGGAAGAAAATCTTTACCAATATTTATAGATGTTTCCTCAGATAGGGATAGAAATGGGCCACCATGCAACAGATGTTAAAGCTAAAACATGAAAACTACATCACGCTGCATCTCCCTCTGTTGACAGACTCTGGGGAAGAATGGAACAGCTTCCAAGAGTGTGACTCATGAAGTTCTGAGCTGCATAATTTCCATCTGTGGGGGATTATTTTCACATACTCATCTGTTGCATTCTTATTTCAATTTCTGGATCAATATCCTACGGTGCTTAAAATAATAAAGATAATCACTTATCATGAGTTGAAAGGGAGATATTAATAATCAGTTTTGTCTAAAAACTTGAAGTTGAGATTCTTAAAACTATGTCTTCTAAATGATGCTTTAAGTATCTGTTTTATTAGTGAAATTCTATAACATATTCTACTCAACTTCCAATTTCCCTAAAAAAGTAGACTACTTCCAAGATAGGTTGGAACTTAGTAAGAATCAACTTGAAAATTCTCATTTTCTCTTGCAAGTACTCCACAAGAAGACACACGGCATAGTGGTTAACAGCGCAGCCTTGACAGCAAGAGGCCTGGGCCAATCCTGAATGTGCCACATGCTAGGTTGGGCATGTTAACTTGGTCTCTATAATTTAGTTACCCCATGCAAACACAATAATGATAATACTTATCTCATAAGGGTGTACATAAAAATTAAGCAGATTAGTTTAACTAGAGTGTATGTAGTAATCACTTGTCAAATGTTATGTACATTGGCTACTGAAGACCTCAAGGGCTCTAGATCCTCCACCCAGTGAACAGGGCATTATACCATTCTCTCCGTGTCTCTTCTCTTCTCTCTCTCTCCCCACTGTGTGTGCACGTGCGTGTGTGTGTGTGTGTGTGTGTGTGTGTGTGTATGTGTAAACTAAGTTACTCGCAAATGTCATTCTTCCCATAAAATCTTAAGTCATTTCAATTTATAAACATTTGAAATTTGTCATAAAGATCAGATTTGAAAAGTAGTCATGTACATTCAAGGCTCTGTGCCCTGGGAAAATAGCTCAGCTTCCTAATTTGCAACAATAGAAATTGCACTACTTACACATCGAGAGTTTATGTAAAAACAATTAGTCTAGTTCCTGAACTCTGGTGTCTTTAGGCAAATAATGAGCCTTCTATGACGTCCTTACAAAGACTGCACAAAGCTTAACAAAGTTCTTAACGGAACTATGTTATCATATACATTATTCTTATCTTTCAAGTTTGTCTCAATATACTGTGTTTAGATATATGAGAAACACTGTTTACAGTCTGTGAAGATCTAAACTAGGTAGACTGAACACTGCTCTTGGCACTTTTCTTTACACACTAATATTACTAAATACTAGGCAAAACAAATATTCACTTTTCTAGACTTGGCAGTCAACTGAAAACTAGGCATACGTGAACACAGTGCTGGGCAACTGTCCTGTCTTTTCCTTGCTGTGGTTACAGGCATCCAAACTGGAACTGTAGCAGCCATCACCTGACCACAATGAAAGGCCAAGAAAATCTTAGAGGCCTCTACCCAGCATCATTAAGTTACGGATTCACCACCTGTAGTTACTTTTCTGTTCCTTAAAGCCAAAGAATGCCTAACAATCAAGGGACCGTTTATTTAAAATAGCCAACTTGTTCAGGCATGATGACATATGCTATTAATCCCAGCATTTGGAAAGGCAGAAGCAGGCAGAACTCTGTAAATTCAAGGACAGTCATGGTCTACATAGTGACTTCCAGGCCAGTTGGAGCTACATAGTAAGACTCTGTCTCAACTAAATAACTAAAAAACTAGATAAATAAATAAATCAGCCACTGTCATCAATTTGTAAAAGGCAAACAGATTCTATTTTTCTATTACAAATCATCCATCGTAAACAAATTAAATTGTTTTCTGTTGAAAATGTTAAACATAAGAATGTAACTAACCAGGAAAATGCTCTCAAATGAACAATGATACTTTTCTGACAAATACTTAACCTACCACATTCCACTTCATATGAACACTTCTAAAATACCCCAAATGTCAAGTGGTAAAAATGTCCAGGTCTCTGGCTATCTGGCCTTTTAGTTGGGCCATCTTGATTCATGTCTTATTCTTTCTGCATCAGTGCCGGGAAGGAAGGCATATTGAATACCAGGAGTCAACTCTAAGAGGATGCAAAAGAGAAAAGACCAGTACAGGGCTCCATGATGGCAAAGAAGAGGCAGCAAAGATATAGTAAAAAAAGGAAAAGAATGATTCAGGCTGGGACAGAATAGGGGACTTACAGAAAGAGTGAGGAAGTTTACTTTAGTAGTTTTCCTTCAAGTCTTTGAGAGAAAGTGAGAAGTCAGAGAGGTTATTGTATCTGGAACTGTGCTGGTAAATAAATGTTTAGCAACAGGCTCCTAATGAGGAAAAAGGCCTCGGCTCTGTGTTTGCTAGTGTTTGTAGCATAAATACTCCTATTATAGTTATTTCAAAGTATCAGTGGGACACAGAATTGAAAAGTGATGCAGAGTAGTGCCAGGCTGTATCATGTTTATACCATATAAAAGAAAAAACTCCGAGAGCACAAATAACAGAAAAAAATGTAAAATACATATAAAAAATTTAATATATTGTAAACTTACATACTTCAATTTCTAATGGCTATATTTAACGATTGCTCTCAAGATTCACAAAGATTTTATAAGTGAGTCCAGCTCACCATACATTTGGTCCTATGCCTGTTTACCACCTAGCATCTCCTAGAATCAGTTTCCAGCATGTTGGCAACTTTTTCCTTTCTTTTCTTTTTAAAGTAAATCTATTTTATTTTGTTCTTTGAGACAGGGTCTCCCTATATCCCCAGCTAGCCTGGAACTTGCTATGTCGACCAGGCTGGCCTTGATATCACAGAGATCTGCCTGCCTCTGCCTCCTGAGTGCTGATGGACCAAAGGGGTGTGCTACCATGCCAGGCTTCCTTTTCATTTAAAAAAATTTATTATTATTTATTTATAGATTTTTTGTATATTTCATACAGAGCATCCCAAACAATCTTACTCATCTCTATACACACATCCCAAATGGTACCCTCCCATAGCCTCCCCCACCATCCCACCCCACTGGAGCCCACTGTCATCCCCATTACTACACACTGTGTTATCAGTGCCCCCCCCTGTTACCCAGTGCAAGTCCATCCGCTGAGTCTAGTCAGCCTATCTAGGGTTCCTTGTTTTAGTAAGATCAGCCCTTCCTCATCTAGCAGCAATCAGTTGATGCTGGCAAGTCTTAGCTCACCCTGACTCTAAGGGAATAAGGAGAGCTGGGAAGGAGATGGATTGCAGCCTATCACGATATGTAAGCTAAATGGAATGTCAGGTTTGACTTCAACAGTGAGTGTATGAAAAATTATTTTCATGCAACTTAAAGGAAATGTTAGGCAGAAAAGCAATGTGACAAAATAAGCCTCTGGCTTTGCTAAGATCAGGAACAGAAAAGAATCCTTGCTCAATAAGGGGACTTAATCCTAACTACAGTCTCTTTGAAGCAACCAACTGAAAACTAAAAAAGAACTTTAACATAACAGCAATGTAGTCAACACTGACTTTCAAAAAATTCCTGCTCTTATGATTTTTAAATTTATGGCTGGAGAAACTGAGATTATGAGAACAGCAAAACATTCTTTTTGAAGCTGAGTAAGTTCTGCTTGTTATTCATTCATAGCACAGATTCTTCAGCTGGAATTATTACATTTGCTTTCTAACTTCCTATCCTCCCAAGTCTCTGGTGTTCAAATCCTGTGATGACTGATGAGAAGACTGGAGGCACCCTAACTCTCTTGCCTCCCTCTGCTACCTATACCCCTCCCACATTTTTTCTTCACCCTTGAACATTTAAATTGATGCCTTTAGTTTCTTTGCAATGTTAATCTTCTGCCAAACCAATCCAGCAAACCTCCAAACTAAATTAAATATTCTTTTGAAGAAAATCACTTAACTAAGGATATTCAAACCAATGCAAATTCATAGAAATGCAAATAAATTTTCTCCTGTCCCCACTCTCAGAGAACCTACTCTGCTTCAGAATGACCTCAGTCTGAACTCTAGGTCCTTGCCAACATCATCTCAGCACAAGCAGATGATAAATTAATGAGCCAATGAGTCTGTTGAGATTTTGAAGTTATATCCAAATCTTTGTTTCCACTGAGTTACTAGAACTAGAGAACAGTATTTTTC